ATGAATGATTTTCTAGGAATTCTGATTACCCATTTCTATCAGAAAACACTTGGAAAACAAGTGTTTGCTGTATCCCTGAAATTACTTTGTCAGAATTCTTACTGTGCTCCATTACATACCTTTCATCAGATAATCTGTATCTATAGAAATCTGTCTACAGATACATTAGAATACACCAGTATATCAAGCATTCCATATGCTTATGTCACTAAAAAAACATATTGAGACTGAATGCTTGATAACAGTTTCAGACAGACCTGGAATCTAGAGTATGAATATGGAGAAGGGTTTTGTCTCTTTGAATTTAAGTTCTTTATAACAGAGATTATGGTGGTTTTGTAAGGTTTTATAAAATGGATAATATTTGAAAGTTCTTTAAATTCTAGTTTTCCCTATTTTTTCTTAAAATACTCCTTGATAAGTAAGTATATGTGTAAGATTTGTTGTTCCAGCATTACTTTTACCTCTGCAATTTAGGAACACAAACATACAATTTTAAAAATTAGATTAAATGGACTTTTTGTTCCCATTCCAAAGAAAGGTGACCCAACAGAGTGCGGAAATTATTGAACAATATCATTAATATCACATGCAAGCAAGAATTTGGAACAATATGTCAACAGAGAACTGCCAGATGTGCAGGCTGGATTTAGAAGAGGTCGTGGTACTATGGATATTATAGCTAATGTTAGATGGGTCTTGGCAGAACGCAAAGAATACCAGAAGAATGTCTATCTGTGCTTTATTGATTATGCAAAGGCTTTTGACTGTGTGGATCACAACAAGCTGTGGCTGACTCTGAGAAGAATGGGAATCCCAGAACATTTGATTGTGCTAATGCAAAACCTATACTTGGACCAAGAGGCAGTCATTAGAACAGATCAGGGAGACACTGGATGATTCAAAATCAAGAAAGGGATCCGTCAGGTATGTCTCCATACCTTTTCAATCTGTATGCAGAACAGATCATCTGAGACGCCGGGCTGTACGAGGAGGAGTGTGGCATCAGGAATGGTGGAAGAGTCATCAACAACCTGCATTATGCAGATGACACAACCCTGCTTGCTGAAACTGAGGAGGACCTGAAGCGCTTCCTGCAGAAGGTCAAGGACTGTAGCCTCCTATATGGATTGAAGCTCAACATCAAGAAAACAAAGATTCTCACCACTGGGCCAGTGGCAGCATCAGTATGGATGGTGTAGAAATTGAGATAGTTAACAGTTTTAGTTTGCTTGGCTCCACAGTCAACACTCTTGGTAACAGCCACCAGGAAATCAAGAGATGAATTGCATTGGGGAAAGTCAGCTGTGAGGGACCTCTCAAGAGTACTGAAGAGCAACGATGTCAGTCTGGAGACAATGGTGTGCCTGATCCAGGCTATAGTCTTTGCAGTTATGTGCTGTGCATCGGAGAGTTGGACAGTGACTAGGGATGTTAGGAAGAGAATTGATGCCTTTGAGCTGTGGTGCTGGAGAAAAGCATTGAATATACCATGGACTGCTAGGAGAACAAACAGGTTTGTCCTGGAGAGGGTGAAGCCAGAATGCTCCTTGGAATCAAGGATTCTGAAGCTTCGTTTGACATACTTTGGGCATGTTGCAAGGAGGGACTGGTCCTTGGAGGGGGACATCATGTTTGGCAGAGTGGAGGGGCAGCGCAGGAGAGGAAGACCTTCGATGAGATGGATCGATTCTCTGACTGGAGTGGTGGGAATGACTGTGTTTGAGATGGCTAGGTTGGCACAGGATAGAACGGTGTTTAGGGCTCTTGTACATAGGGTCGCTATGAGTTGCAAGCGACTCGATGGCACATAACAACAGCTGTCGTCTGACTGAACTAAATGATCTCAACAATTTCTTCCCCTCTGTTGTCCATCTTTCAGGAATTTGTTGCAATTTCTTTTCATTAAAGCCTCTTGGCCCTTCTATTCTCTTGTCTCTTAATGTTATTAGGTGTTCTGGTGTCAGTCCCATCTCACAGCAGTCCTGTCGGGTGCTCTCCATTCTCACAGTCTGCTGTGGTTACAATGACTACTACATCATTCTGCATCAGTTCCTCTCACTGCAGACATTCTTCTCTGCTAACTCTCCACTTTTCCAGTCCCTTTTCTAGGGACAACATGCTCGAAGTGTGTGAGATGATCATCCTTGCCTGTAAGCAACACTTTGGCTGCACTTCTGAGGTGTTCATACATTCTAGCTTCTTGGATTATTTGCCCAGCGTATGGATTGAATAGTTGTAGCAGAAGGCTACAACCCTGACACACACCTTTCCTGCTTTTAATCCATGCAGTAGACCCTTGTTTAAATGACTGTTTTTAGGTCTCTGTATAAGCTCTGCATGAGCACTGTTAAATGTTCTGGCAATCCCATGCTTCTCAGTATTATCCATAATTGATTATAATCCACACTGTTGATTGCTTTTCCAAAATTAGTAAAGCATAAGTAAACATATCTCTCCTTTCAGCCAAGATCCACCTGACATCAGTGATGTCACTTATTCCATGGCTTCTTCTGAATCCAGCCTGAAATTCTGGCAGTTACCTGTGGATATGCAGCTCCCGTCACTTTATAGTACTTCTCGGCAAGAGTTTCCTTGTGTGTGATAATATCTGTATTCTCTATTGGAGTACCATTTTTTAGAATGGGCACAAACAAGTGTGAGTCTCTTCCACTTGGCTGACCAAAAAGCTCTTCCAGATTTTTTTATCTTAGATAGAAAGTGAGCACATGTAGGCTGTATCTGTTTGCTGAACCACCCTCAATTGATACTTTGTCAATCATGAAACCTATTCTTTGCCATTCCTTTGAGCACAGACTGGTGTTCTTCCCTTACTACCTTTGATTCTTGGTCATATAGTACTTCCTGAAATGGTTCTTTGTTAAACACTTCTGTTTGGTATAGTGACTTTTATTATCCCTTCCTTTTTAAAAATACATGTATATAAATTTCCAGTATCATTCATTATTTTTTCCCATAGATTCTTTCAGTTTCTAATTTGCGGTTTGAATCTTTTTTTTAGTTCTTTCAACTTGAGATATGCCAAGGGTCTTCTCTTTTGGTTTTAATTCTAGATTTTTACCCATTTCATTATAATACTATGCCCTTTGAAATCTTCTGTTCAATTCTTTTACTCTATCTTTTTTTCCTTTTGCGTTAGTTTCTGTACATTCAAAAGCACATGTCAGAGGCTCTTCTCATGTTAATTTTTGTCTTTCCCTTCTTCCTAATTTTAACCTGTAAATGTCACTAAAACTTGTCCTTCATAGTTTACTCTTCTGTTATCTGAAATACTGGTGGTGTAGCAGCCAACATCATAGCAACCTGCAGTTAAGACAAACTGGCAAGTGATGGTTTTTCTCTTATAAGGATTATATTATTTTATGCCTCTGCTTATCATGCTTTTGGGGGGGGGAGCAGAGAGATATAAAAAACAGGGATGTATATGCTAGTCCTCCTTGACCTGGAAATCTTTCTTGGGAATTTAATTTCAGAAGTGATTGATCTCCCTTATTGAGAAATTATTCTTTGTAACAATGTTTGCAATGTCAAGAAAATAGTGGTCTTTCTGCCCGCATAGAACTTACTTAACACCTAGAGGAGAAATCTAGTAAACATTTGCATATGGTGCAGTAAGAAGAGTCTTGGTGCGTGCCACTAGGATGAAATGTTTTCCTTGGTAAGTTAAGTAGTTACAGAACTGGAAAGAAAATAAGAACTCCTAGATTTATTACTGTGAGTACTCAGAATTCCTTTTCTTTGACTTCCTTACTTCATAAACTTTCCTCCTACCACTGCAGCACATCTACTCTTATGGCACAGTTTTCTTAACAGCTGTATCTTCTGAAAAATAGGTGTTTTGTTATTTGGTTTGACTTACCTCTTTTGTGAGCTCCCCTTGTGTCCTAACCCCCCAGCACTGGTTTAATAACCAGATTAAGGTCCTTCTTTCTCTCTTGTTTCCCAGATGTTATAATGTTTTGAGGCTCATTTCATACTTGAAATATATTATGGATTATTATTTAAAAAACTTTGGCTCTTGTTCTACTTCCCCTCTTTAGGTCATTTAGCCTTGAGCCCTCCACTTTAATAATTTTTAACTCTGACCTAATCAGTTGGAAGAATTTAAAAACTAAGACTTGTGCTAAGAATTTGAATACAGCCAGGAAATTTAAGGAGCAGGTAAGGCTAGACCAGTCCATTCTCTGGTCTGCAGTTTCATTGTGGTAATTAGTTAATAAGTCAGCTGACTGATTTCACTTCTTAGGTTAAGTGCCTATGTTAAGACCACTATTTTGAAGCTATTCCAAAATGTTGAAGATTCATTTGATGACATATTTTCTCAGATCTATTTACATAGTAATATTTTTTTTCTCTAAAAGCATCCTTCTGCAAATTTCTGAGTAGCAGCACAAGCCTTATCAGTGGAGCAACCAGTAGTAAAGGTTTCTCTATAAAATAATTTTTGGATATTAATTCTTAAGGCCTAAATTGCATAGTACCACTGGAATAGCAAGACTGAGGAATCAAACCAACTTGGGATTAAAAACTCCCTCAGTTACAAGGTGTGTGACCTGAGAAAATTTAGTCATCTCTTTCAACCTTAGTTTTCTCAACTCTGATGTGTGAATAATGAAAATTTGCCTCTTAGAGATGTTGATGAAAGGATAAAGTGAAGCGCTGTGAAGTGACATGCATGAAAGGTCATTGAAGATCAGTAGGTATTGGTAAAACAGCTTCACGCTCTGACTTATGAAACTTAGCACTATGAAACTTAGCTAATATGTTACCTATGGTATAAACCAACTTCAGTAATTCTTTAGTTTTATCTGTATAAAATAGGTAATTATTTTAATTGTAATAAAAAACCCTTGATTGCCATGAATTACTGCTTGAAAATGCCATTTGTAGAACCTGGGCGTGTAAAGTGGCAGTGGAGAAGGCATGGTACCAGACACAGTTATGTAGTTCTCTTATCTTAGCTTGCTTTATTATTTCAGTCATACCAGACTCTCCTGGGGTTTATGAAGCTGAGTCACCTCCTCCTCCTCCTCCTGCTTCTCCACCTCCTGAACCAGTGCCAAAGACTGAGCCAGACCCTCCTTCCACGAAGGTAAAACTACTAAGACAGCTGAATTTTCACACCATCTTTTAAGTCCAAGAATGTAAAATTACTATACTAATTCCGTTTACTTGTATACTTCATAAATGCCAGTAGATGGCTCTTGTTTCATTCTGCTCTACTATAGATCATATGGCTTTTCTCTAGAAGTAGAATTTTAGCTTTGTGGTATAGTCTCAGGTAGGTAGTTGAGTTGGGTCTTGAGAGTTGTTTGGATTTTCATGACCTCCAGCATGTGCTCCAGCTACAGCTGCTGTGCTTCACTCCTGCTGAAGTTGTGCTAAAAGAAGTATTGCCTGTATCAGAGCAAGGGAGTATAAGAGCGCAAATTAATACTGATTCACATTTGTTGCTTTTAGAAGCTCTTCTGGAAAGGCCCTAATCAAAAATCTGGCAACAAATAGAGGAGTATGAATGACCTACAGCAGCATGTTTTCTGTATTAATTAATTGTAGATAGTGACGAGTTGAGAAAATGGAAAAGAAGCTGACAAGCTTTATAACTATTAATTTTCCTTAATTCAGTACTGTAAAGGTAAATCTTGCATTGTATAGCTGACCCTCCAGCAGAATTCTGTAAATTATACTGGAGGAAATTGCCCATCTTGCTCAGATGGAGCAGCTGGTGGATTTGACCCACCTGCCTTTGGATCAGTAGTGCAACTCCTTAGCTACTAGGTCACCTGAATTTCCCAAAGAGTCACTAGAACAAAATAATACTTAATCTGAGTCTAATTTTCTCTCACCTCCGTTGCTGTTGAGTTGATTCCCACTCTTAGACACCCTGTAGAATAGAGAGTACTTCCAAGGCTGTAAGCTTTGCTGAAACAGACTCCCACATCCTTCTTGTGAGTGACTGTTGGGTTCAAACAAGAGTAATTAATAACCAGTTCTTACCTGCTGAGCCACCAGGGCTCCATGAGACAAAATTAGATAGTTGGTATGTTGAAATAGGCTCCTAGTGACATAGTCCATAGGAAGTTGTACTGCAAACTCAAAGGCTGTGCTTCCCTGCAGTTCAGATCCACCAGCAGTTGTTCTGGAAAAAGATGGACATTCTCCTACCGTACAGTTTACAGACTCAATAACTCAACAGAGGATCAGCTATGAGTTAGTTCCAACCTGGTCTATGAGAGGGAGAGAGAATGTTGAAATGGCAAAGCTGGAATATCTAATGTCTAGAGCACAAATGTATGCCATAGATGCACCTGCTCTTATTTCCATGCTATCCCTGTGTATTCCATACTATCTGTTGCAGCATTTCATCAAAGCACTTCTTATAGTGTATTGCAATGGTTTGTTCTCTTTCTTCTCCACTAAGTGTAAGGATCTTGTCCTATTTGTCGCTATGGTGGCTAAGCCACCAGCACAAGTTTGTTGACTCAGTGAACTTAGTTCTTTGCTCACTATGATTCACTCCATCTCATAAAAAGTGAAAAATTATCAAGCCTTCTAAGGAGCCTAAGAAATGTATGTGATGGGACTAGTCCCCTAGAAGGAAATGTATAGAGTTCCTCTTTCAACTATTTTCAAAATGGAATATTGGAAAGTAATTGTTACAGATTAAGCTTTTAATTTTATTTTTCTTATAGCTTCATTGATCATTCTAACATTTATCCTCTGATCTTTTAGGGCTCAAATGGAGAAAACAAAAGAAAACGAAAGCGTGTATTAAAATCTAAAACCTATGTGGATGATGAAGGCTGCATAGGTAAGAAAAAATGTTTGCTTCAAATCCAGAAGTAAGTTATTATAGAGAAGCACCATAATGCTTCATAAAGCATTGTGTTTAATGTATATCTGAGTCATCTCTTAGTGATGCCGGAATGCTATAACTAAAGTCAGAATGCTTGGGTCTTGATTAGGCTATAAAATGAAGCTTTGAGATTTCAGGTAAAAGTTGTGTAACCTCTGACAGGGAAATTTCTTGACATGTGAAATGAATGTAAAATAACTATTTTATTTTGCATATTGATGAGGTGGTTGTAAAAATTCAAATGAAGTTATAGATCTTTAAGACACCTTCAAGATGAAACCCACAATTTGAACTTAAGAAAGGTTGTTTTGTCAGTAGAAAAGAAGGTATTGTTGGTATTCTGTCCCATTTGTTCTTCTGAGGGAGGTGACTCATCTAAATCTTTTTTATGTTTCCTCTTTGTAAGGCATGTTATATAAAGACATGTGCTTGCTTTGGAGCCCTAGAGGAGAATTAGAATTCAGGTCATGAGTCAGTGGTGAATTCTGTAGCCATGTTTTTGCCCTTTCCACAGTTGAACCACACCGCCTTTTTCTGTGGCACATTTAGGATCTAACTTGATGCTTGATGGGGTGCTAAGGTCTTGGTGTACTTTATTTTTTTGTTTTGGAAAGAGCATTTCTCTCTTATTTCAGTCCTTTTTGTGATTTTCCTTGTTTATTTTTTTCCCCATTTCTCCTTTCTTGTGGACATAAATTCTCTGTCCTTAGAGAAGTTTTTTACTTTTACCTTGATTTTGTTGTTTCTAGTCTAAACTCTCATAAAGATTGAGTGTGTTAGCTCTTTATAGCAGAATGGTTGTTAAAATTAGTGACGATGCCCATTGATTTTGTACCCTATCTGAGTTCTCACTTACCACTCCCCTGAAAAAAAAACACCTTCTGCTAATTTAATTATAACGTGTTGGTAGGTTGATTGTTAAATCACTTGGCTGTTAACCAAAAGTTAATGTTTGAGCTCACTAGCTGCTCCTTAGAAGAAAGCCGTGGCAGTCTTTCCCTGAAGATTTGTGGTTATTATGTACCTTAAAGATTACTTACGACCTTGGAAATGCTCTGGGACATTTTATTCTTGTCCTACATGGTCACCAAGAATCAACTCAATGGCAGTGTGTTTGGGTTTTGTTTTTTATTGAGGAATAGAATTCCTTACATGTGGGGATTCTGTGTAGGTTTCTTGTGAGCCTATGAATTAAGAACTTCAGGTGGTCTTTCTCTACCCCAATTCCACCCTGCCCCCTCAGTTTTCTAACAGAAGACTTGTTTTTCCTATTGACTGTAATATATTTACTCCTGGCTTTCTTAGCCTATTTTTTTGTTGTTGTTGTGTACTGTCAAATCGGGTCTGACTGGCACAGGAGGAGTTTGCTTCCTCCTCCTTCTCAGCAGAACATCTGGTGGATTCGAAATGCGTACCTAAATTCAGGATTGCAGCGCAGCTTCTTGCCACTAGGCCACCAGAGCTCTTTCTTATTTATTTATTTTTGAAACTTAAGACAAAATAATCAGTACTAGTGTTTTCCCCTCCTTTTTCCCCAAAAGGAAAAAGTCAGCTATATCTTTGTGAGAATCCATGCAAACTTGTGCCTAATTACCTCCTTCTTTGTTCAAAACACAATACTCCGTTTTTGGCCAGGTGTGGGATGTGGACTTTCTTGCACTCCTCTCTCCAGACAGGCCTATTAAGATCCTTGGACGCAACAATGAAAACTCTGCTCACATAGCACTTTTTAAAAAATGCTTTTAGTCCAAGCTCAACCTAATGAATCTTGGCTCCTCTTAATGACAAAGGAGTTCTGCTTTCCTTTTTCTGTCAGTTTGTTCCAAATATGCCACCACAGGGGCCTGCCCCTTCCCTGTGCTGGGACAGCATTGTACTGAGGATTTAAAATACTAATATTTCTCTTTCTATGCATTCGCTATAGGGACCTGAAATTTAGGCCCCTAAGAGGGGTTTAGGATGGATTCTTGGACAGAGGGGTGGATTTCTAAGCAAACTAGTTGAATGGAAAGAGATCTGAGTTTACTCACACACACCTGCACTTTTAAAAATAACGACAGTTTAGAAAAGTGGCAATTTTTCAGTTAAACTCACTGCTGTCAAGTTGGTTCTGATTCATAGTGACCATAGGGTTTCCAAGGCTCTAACTGTATGACAGCAGACTGCCTCCCTCCTTTCTCCTTTGGAGCAGCTGGTGAGTTTGAACTTCTGACCTTTTTGGCAAGTTGATTAATTCTTTAATCTCTGTGCTACTAGAGCTTTTTTTTTTTTTTTTTTTTTTTTTTTTGGTGGTGACACAATCATTTTATTGGTCTTACATAATTTATTCCCAATATCTGATATTACACACTTTTGGATCTTTGAGATACGCAGGATCCTTGTATGTAACTGACATAAATCCCAGTTTTTGAGACCTCTTAATTGCTTTTGTGATTTCTTTTTGTTTCTTCCCACAAAGACCTGTTATGGTGCCTTCCATATATGCATCCAGTAAATGGAGAAATAAACTGGGAAAAAAGCTGTACATTCTTATAATCTACATGTTTTTCACACAAGATACATTTTTTAAGAGGTTCCTTATAAAGATTCTCCATTGGAATGGGCAAGTCCTCATGGTTGGTCACCTGTTTATACTGGGAGCAAGCTCTTTTCCATAGCACCGAGTGAGTCCTGGAATCTCTGAGGCCGACTGCAGCCGTTACCAAATGCGTCAGTTTTTTTCTTCTCAGAGCACCACAGAGCGTCACCGTACTTGCCATTGCTCCTCGTTCTTCCCGTGTCTTTCCTGTTTCAAAATCGTCCGGTTTGGTCTACTAGAGCTTCTTAATGAAAATAAATGTACTGTGTTTTTAAGTTGAAAACTCCTTTGTTCTGTATTTCAAAGTAACTATAGCTTTGAGTATGGAAATGTTCCTTTTAGTTTTTCCACCACACTTGATATGCTGCTGAAGACCTATGTTGATGTTCCCTGACTGGTTTTTAACTTCTCCAAGCAATACGTTGTTGAAAATTGTCAACACGGCAGCCTATTGTTTCATTAATAAGCCATAAACTAACAATTGGTGGATTAGAATTAGTTTTCAGACATGCTGTCATTTGACTATAAAATATTACTTGAAGAGAGGACAGTTTGACAGTATAAACTCTCACTCATTGCCATGGAGTGAGAACAACTCAGAGCTGACCCTCCAATGGGTTCCCAGAGGCTATAAATTGCACTAGAGGAGATTGCCCTATTTCTCCCTGGGAGTAACTGGTGGATTTGAACCACTCACTTTTAGGTTGGCAGCATAACTCTCCATCAACTACCAATTGCTAGTAAGCTATTTTCTCTATCTATAGATGGCTTTTCAGACTTGACTAAGGTACTCAATTCAATTACATAATGCTTTTGAAGGCATGTATAAGATAGAACTGCTATTCTGAAAACATAATTGCTGAGAACAAATGGTTATGGCCAAGAAACTTTCCCCACTTAGTACAAGGTTCCTCAAACTTTGTTGCATATGTTCCTCAAGCTTTGTTGCATTACTACAGTTAAAATTCTAACTCAGTAGACCTGGATTAGATGTGAAATTATACCTCTCTAATAAACTTGCATAAGGATGCTCTGCCGTCTTGCTGTAGTCCATAGAAAGTTGTTTCCCCAGCCCAAAGGCTACGCCACTCTAGCTGCTCAAATCCACCCTCAGCTCCAAGGAAAAAGAATGGGCAGTCTTCTTCTATGCGATTTAAAGCCTCCAAAAACCCACTAGAAGGTCAGCTAAGTCAGTACTGATTCGATGACAGTGAGTTGGGGCGTATGGAGGGGTGATATTAATTTTTTAAAATAAACTTGCAGAGACTATTGATGCCTCTGGCCTCAGACGCACCGTTTAAATAGTAAAGCCTGCTTTTCTTCCAGGAAAACCTTGTGGATTTAAATCATCAACCTTTTGTTGGTGGTTTGTGTAATACACTAGTATTACCTTAGTAAGACCTTGTTGTTGTTGGGTGCCACTGAGTTGAGTATGACTTATAGTGACCCTGTGAACAGCAGTTCTGAACCTTGTCCTATTCTATGCCATCCTCAACATCTCTTGACACACAGGATCCTGTTGCTGCAGTCATTGTGTCAGTCCATCTCATTGAGGTTCTTCCCTCTTCTTCTCTGACTCTCCACCTTTACAAGCATGATGTCTCTTTCCAAGGGTTAGCTCAGAGCGTATAAGATAAAGTTTTGCCATCCTTGCCTCCAAAGAGCATTCTGATTGTACTTTGTCCAAGATGTACCTGTTCATTCTTTTTGCAATTCTTGGGCTATTCAGCACACTTCTCTAATACCACAACTCAAAGGTTTTAGTTCTTCTTAGAGAATGCTTAATATATGTTTAAAGCTTTGTAGTATCTTTTTGCTTCTAAGTTGGCAGGAATTAGAGTGAATACTAGGCTCTTTAAAGTGCTGATTAGTTTTCAGAATTTTTGGGAAGAGGACTGTCAATTACACATCCTTAATGGAATTGGAAGTATAATGGGTATGGACTATATTGTGGCAATAGCTAGTCAATCTCTAGCATTGTCCATGGTGAAGGGAAAAATAGCATTGAATGTTGTCATCGTCATTGTTTTTGTTTAGTGTCGTCAAGTCAACACTGAGATAATGACCCTAAATATAACAGAACTCAGTCTGATCCTGTTTCATCCTTAAAATGTAACTATTATTGCAACTGCTGTGTCAATTCATCCCATTGAGGGTCCTCTTTTTTGCTATTCCTATGCTTTTAAACACCAAAACGAAACAAAAAAACCAAACCCAGTAATACTGAGTTGATTCTAAAATCTGGTGAACCTCCACTGCATTTCCAAAGCTGTAAACCTTTATGGGAGGAGACTGGCCATTTTTCTGTCTTGAAATGGTTTGGTGGATTCTGCCAGCTTTCTTGTTAAGTGTAGTATGTAACTAATTGCACCACTAGAGCTACTTTTAGGGCTTGCTAAATGCCGCTACATGGGCCTGTATAGTCTTTGAGACAGTATTATCCTGATTTTATAGGGAAGGAAAGAACAGTGATTTTCAATGTGATCTTTATATTAACACCATCAGTATTGCTGAAAAGCATGTACTGAAGCTAGTGAATCAGAAACTATGGGTGGAGCCCAGCATTCCATGTTTTTAACAAGCCTTCTGGGGCATTCTGATGCGTATTTGAGATTATATAAATTGGAGACTAGGTATTAGAATAAAACCTGTACATCTAGGATACTTTGACAAGTAGAAATAAATTTTTAATAAGAACTTAAAACTACCATGGCTCTTTAATGGGGGAAAATCCTTCACTTTAATCATTTGACTATTAATTAAGCATATAAGATTACTAAGAAAAGTTCATTGTTTCTTCCTTATTGGCTTCCACCAGAAAGACAGAGAAAGAATTTAAGTGAGATTGATTATGTAGCTGCTGCAGCTCTCTAAAATCACAGGAAGGTGGCATTGCACTGTTTCTTATGGTAGTTGTATGTATTGTAGTAACACTGAAGACTTCAGTTCCCTGTAACATCATTGTTGCAAACTATTTTCTGTGGCTGTGCCTTATAATGACTTTAGAGCTTTCTTATAAAGACTTCTCACTAGTATTTTGTTCTTGTTGTTGTTGTTGTTGATGAGTCAGACTGACTCATATCTGACCCTCCAGTGGGATTCAGAGACATTAAGTCATTCACACAAGAGGAGAATGCCTACGGCAACACAGCTCTTCTCACTAGGCCACCAGAGCTCCTAGTAGAATTCTCTTCAAAATTTCTGTTAGGGAAGGTTCAGTTCGTTTTTTGGGGGGAGGAAAAGACAAAATATGCTTTTGACTGGTAAGAATGTTAGAGAATTGGTAGCTTTGTTTCTCATTCTATCATTGTCCTTCCTCGAAACCATCAAGTTTTCTTGCCATCTGTCTGGTAGAATTTTCATGAGAGTTATCTTCATGATGGACATCACTACTAAATCATGGGTTGATATAGTCATTCAGAACAGTTGACTGATTAATCTTTCAATTGAGTGACATTAGGATGGAGCTTGCTGGAGGAACCCAGGATAAGCTGATCGAGGGCTGACAAGTACACTGAGATTTAATCAGTGAAATGATAAGCTATGGGGGAGTTTTGGGGGAGTAATGGGGAATGTTAATTCTAAGACCAAACTAGAGCTTTGTGAGCCCAGGATTTGATTCCTCCTTGACGCCAGATCTGCTTTCTTCTGGGAGAGAGTATCGATCGGCTCACCAACTCAAGCAAGAAGTCTGAGCAAGCCTTTTAATTACGCTTGATAAAGTAATGTTCTTCCTGACTCAGCCCATTCATATCCTCTTTTTATTCTTATTCCACCAGTTACTGAGAAAGTCTATGAGAGTGAATCCTGCACAGATAGTGAAGAGGAGTTTAAGATGAAGATATCTTCTGTGCACAGACCTCCTACCATGACTATGAAAAAAGAACCCAAAGAAGAACGAAAGGGCCCCAAGAAAGGGACTGCTGCTCTGGGCAAAGCCAACAGACAAGTGTCCATTACTGGATTCTTCCAGAAGAAATAAACCTCATCTCCCTTAGGTCAGAGACTTGGAAAGCTCAAGGGAGAAGACTAAGATAAAGAAACTTTCTCACTTACTGTGTAAGTTTGCCTGGTTCCTCACCTCACCTGCATCAGAAGACTTCTTCCATCTATGTGAGGTTTATATGCTTTGTGGTTTTCATCCAAAAGGAAATCACTTGGAAGCAAGAGGCAAAGGAATATTTAAAAGCTGTTACTTTCTAATGACATTTTTAAAGCACAGTATGGCCTGTCCAGGAGAAGAATTCACTCCAAAAATAAATTGGAACAGGTTTCAGAATTATCACTGAAGCCATCTGATGGTTGATCCACTGTGGCCCACCCACTCTGTGCCCTGATCCATTTATGACTCAGGAAGTGTTTCTTCTTGTTCCTTTGTATTCTGTGAGCCTGTGTTGGTTTAGTTAATTTAAAACAACAGCAAAAAACAAACAAACCTGGTTTGTTTACTACTCCCCCCCATAATCTGCTATTACACTCTCTGTCCCCATGAACTAGTTTTCTTTAAGTCTTGGTTGGACTAAAGACGGAAACAAATCTCCCTGTGAATTCCCCTTTGCCCTCCATTATAAAGTACACTGACAGTTGGCTCCTGGTCAGCACATTACTTGTGTCCTACCTCTTTCATAAAAGCTCTTTAGACCTTTACTCGCAATTAGTGGTTAGGTAAAAGCCTCAGACAGAGCACAAATAGAAATTTAATGATGTATTCAACTCCACAAGAAGTTAGAGTCCACATTGATGATGTTAGAGGAGTTGTCATGTAGCTGACACAGTGTGTTTTATATTGCTCATGGTTTTTGTTCTCCTTTCCTACTCTTAGTGCCTCAGAGTGAAACACGTACAAATAAATGAAGGCTGAAGAGAGATCCTTCCTTTCATACAGTGTACAACAGTAAATAAAGTTTCTCCTTCTCAAGGAAACAACATTGGAGAACCGAAGTTTTCCAACAAATTTGCCAAGAAGAAAGAAGGCACACATTTCTATCTAGACATTGTACCACTATATTTTTAACTCTCCTGTTTGCCTAAAAGTTAAGGGTTTCCCAAGAAAGAGTTTGTTAATAGTTCTAAATAGCATTTAAAGCATTTCATTTGTTGCTTGTAGAAGATGAGCTGTTCCAACAATAAGTAACTTCATTATACCTGCACAGGTGGTGAGCTCAGTGGGTTGAGGTGGTAGGGCAGTGACCTTACACAGTGAGCTCTGGTGAAAGGAGTTTGGCCTGACTGCTGACGTGACACAGGACCACAGGTCCAGCTCCCACCCTCCATCTTAACCTGGTATATGAAGTAAGTGATATAATCAACTGTCTTGCTATTTAAAGATAAGATTATGAGTGACCTTGCAATTCATAAGAGTTTTTGAAAGCAGTTGTTACCCATGACTTTCCAGCTGGCTCCTCCATGGGCTGATTAAGATCAGAGGTGTGGGAAGAATTCTGGAATTATGTCTAGGATTTGAGGAAGCTTAGGCTTTGCGTGGCAAGCTTGAGTAAAAGGTCAATATAATGTAAAACCCTTTATAAAAATATAGGGTGGGGGAAAGGTGCAAAGACTGAGCTTATCCTTAAAAGACTTCTGGAAGAATCTCTTTTAAAGTGTGTATGTGTTTGTGTGAGTGTATATGAATGTGTGTGTCATTACTTCTGGTCCTTTTTATAAGTAGTAGTGAAAAATGAAAAAACAGCCTACTCTTCCCTCCCCCCCCTTTTTTTTTTAATGCGAGGCTCTCTAGTAAAACATCTTGAATTGGAGAAAATAGCTGGTTGGGCCCCCTTTCCACAGATAATGTAAATCCTGTGCTCTCTGAGTCCAGTATGCTGCATTGTCTACATTTGGAACTATCCGTGAGGCTTAGTAATTGAGTGGTGGCTCTTTTTCCTTTTATACAATACTACAGTGCTCTGCCATGTTATCCACATGAGTTAAATAAATTCGAGAAGTTGTTTTAAAACAATGCTTCAAACTGAATGTCTGATGGGTCTGTTATTTGACAGGATGGCAGCAGTATATGCAATTATTTAGAGTCTGAACAGGAACAAAGCTGGTTTTCAGTTTATACTATTAAAACTGCATAATCTTAGTCTGAGAGGGACAAGCTCTTTGCTGCTTTCATCATTTTTTCAGCCCTGTGGGAAAGTGCAGCTTCAGCCAGCCTCATTTTATAGTTCATTTAGAAGAAAATCTAGTCCTGATCTTGCATATCATTTTTATTTCATCACCTGCTGGCTGTGTGACTACAGTGAAGTTTCTGAGCCTTAGATTCTTTATCAAAATAGAGTTAAAATTAGTCACCATGTGCTGTTAAGTCTGAGGTAATGTGTATCAAGTAAATTTTATCACAGTGCCTGGCACATAGGTGCTCTAAAAATTGGTGTCCTGATGTCGTAAATGATACCATCAGTTACTGACTTCCTGAGGCTAGTCCTATCAGTGATAAGACCCGGATGTATGCTCATTCAAAGCCATCACTCTGACTATACACGTGGTCAAAATGGAAGGTAGTTGTCCTCTTTGAGGAGTGTGGCTATCTTCTTACAGAAGGGAAATGATATTAGTGGACAGCTTTATTTATTGATGTACTTACTGTGTGTACTGTGTTGAGTCTCTGACCTGAGCACTAGAGAATACAGAGTCAAATAGAATCTGGCACTCGTCTTTAAGGGTCTAGTGGAAAACAGACTAGTGAAGTGAAATTACAAGGCCGGCACTGAGTAGAGTGGTAGATATGCACCTGTCCTCTGCATGCTTGTAGTAGGGTCGGTGTCACAGAAGTCTTCCTGGAAGACACGATGCTCATTTGTTGATTGAAGGGTGTGTAGAATTTTTCTAAGCAAAGAGGGATGGAAGAAATTTTCCAATTAACTGGGCAAAGATTTTTCTTTATGAAATGGACTTGAGACTTAAGGAACAGGGAGGAAAATGTATTACAAAATGGAGGTGGGATTCCATTAAGCAGTTGGTTATTGGTTTCTTGACTTTAAGAAGAGAAGTAACTAGATGTCACTTCTGTAAATAAGATGTTGATGGCTGGCATTTTTTTTGGTTTTGTTTGCCGTTGATAAAATGAGCATTGCTATACATGCCTAAGATCTCATAGAGGAAAAATGTTATGTTTAGTAGATTAATAGACTGCTGTGCTGTTTAGTTCTGGTAACCAGTATGGATAGTTGGACTGTTTACTTTGCCTTCTGTCATCAGCATGGATTTCTGTAGCAGAATCAGTTTTTGAAAAGTCGTTTTAAAAGCTGATTGTTTTTCTGTAATGCTTTCAGTGGTACAAGTCTCCAGTGACTTTACTGGAAAAAAACTGAGCGAGTGGGAGGATGAGTGGAATAATTCTATTCCTTTTCTATCTTTGTTTCTCTAAGAAGACTTTCGTTATTATACAGAAGAGGGCTGAAGAGAAGGGCCATATAAGGAAACTAAATAGTTTCTTGTGGACATGAGTAGAATGAGTGCATAATAATGTACTCTGTGTCAAGACTCGTTTGGGTAAACTTGTCTCCTTTCATAGGTTATGAGATCTCAGTATGCTGTAATGCAGCTTTTTACCACCATGAAACATTCTGGGGCTGCCCGATTTTGTTGTGAGAAGGCACTATTGCTTTCTGAGTTATTGCCCTGGCAGCTCTGTAAATTAGCCCATGCTGTCACCATGCCCTCACTGAAGGGCACATTGTACCCAAATGTCTGTATGTAGGACTGACTCTTGCCACTCTCTGCCGCATGACACTTCCCTCTCCTTGTATCTGAGTCCAGTTTCTTGTGTTCTTAAGTGTGGGCCACCCACAGATTGCCACCCGGGCTTCTTAGCCAGAGAAGCTTGGTAAGGCTTCCCTCCAGTACTTTTTCTGTCTGGTAAACCCACCTTAACTCTAGAATTTGCCTTTATATGAAACCTTAAATATTATCTGCCTCCCCACTACTCATCCTTTCCCTTCTCTTTTATTTGCTCTTGCCAGACTCCTTGTTTCTTTAGGCTTCACCCAGGCTCCCTTCCTCCTTTTTTTATTTTTTAAAGTACGCGAAGTTCTTCATGGGCAGTACATATTTAACTTCTTTTATTCTGTTAGCCTTTCCATTTGGCAAGTCTTTTGCTGGGCTGCTCTTGAAGAATGGAAAAACTCACTTTGTTTAATATCTGCCTTGGATCATTGAATGCCACGGCAGCAGTTATTGAATGCAGGATATATTTATTTCTAAGCAAGATACTTGCAGAAGCATATGGGCTACGATTTTAGGACTGTTAGGACGTAGGCGGAAGATAGCATTCAGTAACAGTTGGGAAAATGCTACTATAGATAAGGGACTTAATATTTCAGAGAGAAAAAAATACAAACTAGTTACCATCAAGTCGGTTCTGATGCATGGCTGCGCCAGGTGTGTCAGGGTAGAACTGCCCCACAGAGGTGTTACTTTGGGGGCACCTCTTGGTGGACTTTAACCATCAGACTTTTGGTTGGGCCACAAGTGGTTTAGCTGCTACCCAGAGACTCCTGCTTAAGAAAAGAATGGGTATTCATAATGGCCACAAATGCAGTTCTGTAAAATAACAACAAATGACTTAAGACAAGCAGCCTAAAGAAGGTTAACTATTTAATTTGGTGTTGGCTGTTCGAACACCCCTCACCATTTACACATGTATGATCTAACTAAGCAATGATTCAATTAATTCTTAACAGAATTCTTTCTCTCCTAATAATGAAACCATTGACAGGAACACATACCAGGGATTATTTCAAAAGGCAGCACATAGAATGTATTCTGGGTCAGTGTACATAGAATTCAATTTTTTTAAATATAGTTATTCCTGCACCAGTCAGCTTTACTGACAATGGGACAACCAGCATTTACCCCATTCGCAATACAAACTAAGCACAAGGCCTGGGTTGAGGTTTATATAGAGTCTTTCACTCTGCCTCCTCTTTCTATACAGCCAGTGCAGGAACACAACCTGTAGTAAGCATAAGGAGGCCC